AAAGAAAAATAGTGTAATGTATACTTTACTGTGAGAAGTCTTTTCACTGTACACAAGTTAAAAATTTTATCAAGATACTAACTAGAAACCCATGGTGTATTCAGTCAACGATCTCAAGGTCATCAAGATGAAGGAGCACTTGAAATTAGATTGTAGGTTTCTGGAAAATTTACACACGAAAATAAAGCTGAAGTTAAGTTCTTAGTGAAGCAATTTATTGAGTTCCAGTTCCTTATGAATAGACTGGAATGCGAACATTAGTGTTTTATAAAAAAAAAAAAATATGAGGACCAGAAATTCAATTTCTTAAGGCCTGTAGAATGGAGTGTTAAAATTACAGAAATACACAAGCATACAACAGACTATAGTATTTATCCACAGGGAGAATTGTTCTGAGGGGCACCAGAGTTTGGTTGAATCATGGGAAAGTAGCATGAGTCTATTCAAGTATAAAACCCAGTTTGGATGGTATCTGCCACTGACATGTTTTCAACTGTTTTTTTTTTTTTTCATTTTCCCTTTTGCAGACTTCACTCTTACTCCTCAATGAATGCAGAGAAGAGCCCTCTGACTCAACCCAAGAATACATTCCGTTCCTGTGGAGGCCTTCTTACCACAATTAAGTACTAACATGGAAATAATTCCAGGATGATCGAGCACAATCTTCCTTACTTAGCTCTAATTCCTTCTCTCTAATATAGTGCTACCAAATTTCTTAATGCTGTGACCCCTTAAGACAGTTCCAAGTAATTGAATGTGGGCATACTACAGTTCCAAGTAATTGAATGTGGGCATACTAACATGTGGGTAGACTTGCCAGGAGACAGACGGAAGTGGTGTCTCAGTTCCTAAAACAATCAGAATTTAGGGTTTTTCATTTATCTTGGGAAGCTCCAATGAAAGGATCATAATCTGAAAGAGGTCAAAACCCAGAATGGCTCTATTATCAGTTTCCCACTTACAAGTTTCAAGGACAAATTAATAAATGGGTTCACTGCATGTTTTATGAGACACTTCCTGGGGAGATACAACATATAGATCCAACTACTCACCCCAACTGGAAACTGAAAACAGAACCAAATTCAACTTGCTAAATCAATGAACTTTATTGGGAGTTGCAGGAACATGGGGAGAGTTGCTTATCAGAGCACAGAGGACACAAAGGTACTTGCAATCCTCAAACTCAAAATGAGCATGTGATATAGCTTATGAATACTGGACACCTGAAACATACTGCACACCTACAGGGATACATACAGATTAAGGAGCATCCTATCTTGATGGTTCAGTTTGACCAATCTTGAGTTGCATGAGTTATGTCTAAGTTTTGACATTTCAGTTAAACATACTGAATCCTGTCAGTTTCAGGGATATCTTGATATAAACTGAGAATGCTCATTTGTTTCCTGGCCATCCAGACCTGGATAATCACACAGAAACTATTAATTACAACACTGTTTGCCAATAGCTTAGGCATATTCCTAGCTAGCTCTTACATCTTAACCCATTTCTATTAATCTGTGTACCACCAATAAGTTGTGGCCTACCAGTAGATTCTGGTATCTTTCTCTGTTGGCAGATACATGGTGTCTCCATGACTCTTTCTCCTGGCATTCACTTTAGTTTTCCTGCCTAGCTCTATTCTGCCTGCCATAGGCCAAAATAGCTTCTTTATTAACCAATGGTAATAAAACATATTCACAGAATAGGAAAGGCAATCCCACATCATCTTGAAGCTATTTTAAGCAGCTTATCTCCTGCCTTAATCAGCTTTCCTTCAGAATGGATCATCTGAGTTCCTAGGATATTGCTACACAAGACCAAAGACAGGGCTTCAGACGTCTCCATTTTGTCTTCATTATGAATTATTTCAGGTTGAAGAAGTAAAAATTGGAGAAAGCAGAAGCCACATCATTTCAAATGGTTTCATTACTCCCCAGTATGAATTTTTAGATGTTTTCTTACATGTGAAAGGCAAGTAAAGACTTTTTCTCATACAGTGCATTTGAAAGGTTTCTCTCAGGTATGAATTCTTTCATGTGTTCTCAGGTTGGATAAAAGATGTGTCACTGATTATTATTTGGACTTTTTCTCTTTTGTATGGTTTCTCTCATGTATTCTAAGATACGAGGTACTCGAAAAGGACTTGTCACATTCACTACATTGGTGAGATTTCTCTCCTGTATGAATTCTCTGATGAGTTCTAAGAAATGAACCATAGGTAAAGGATTTGTCACATTCATAGCACTTGTAGGGTTTCTCACCTGTATGAACTTTCTGATGTCTTCTAAGACATAAGTCAGTGTTAAAGGATTTCCCACACTCACTACATTTGTAAGGATTCTCCCACATATGAATTTTCTGATGAGTTTTAAGATGGCATTTCTGGGAAAAGAGTTTGTTACATTCACTACATTTATAAGGTTTCTCAACTGTAAGGCTTCTCTGATGTCTTCTAAGATATGAGATACTCATAAATGATAGGTCACATACACTACATTTGTAAGGTCTCTCTCCTGTATGCTTTCTCTGATGTATTGTAAGAAATTCACGATGGGTAAACGATATGTTACATTCAAAACATTTGTAGAGTGTCTCACCAGTATGAAATCTCTGATGTTTCCTAAATTCTGAGCCATAGGTAAAGGATTTCTCACATTCACTACATTTGTAAGGTTTCTCTCCTGTATGAATTCTCTGATGAGTTTTAAGACTGCCTTTCTGTGTAAAAGATTTGTCACATTCACTACAATGGTAAGGTTTCTCTCCTGTATGTGTCCTCTGATGGATTCTATGGGCGGCCTTATTGAAAAAGGATTTGTCACATTCACTACATTTATAAGGTCTCTCGCCTGTATGTAATTTCTGATGACTTATTAGACTGCATCTCAGGGCAAATGCTTTGTCACATTGACTACATTTGTAAAGTTCCTCTCCTGTGTGTATTCTCTGATGCATTCTAAAATATGATCTACTCACAAATGACTTGCCACATTCACTACATTTGTGTGGTTTCTCTCCTGTATGAATTTTCTGATGAGCTTTAAGCCTGCTTTTCTCCGTAAAGGATTTGTCACATTCACCACATTGGTAAGGTTTCTCTTCTAAATGTATTTCCTGATGTCTTCTAAGAAAGGACCTACTGGTAAAGGATTTGTTGCATTCACTACATTTGTAAGGTCTCTCCCCTGTATGAGTTCTCTGGTGAGTTATTAGAGAGTCTTTCTGGATAAATGCTTTGTCACATTGACTACATTTGTAAAGTTTCTCTCCTGTGTGTATTCTTTGATGTATTCTAAGATACGACACACTCAGAAATGATTTGCCACATTCACTACATTTGTGTGGTTTTTCTCCTGTATGAATTTTCTCATGAGTTCGAAGACCACTTTTCTGCGTAAAGAATTTCTGACATTCACCACATTGGTAAGGTTTCTCTCCTGTATGTACTCTTTGGTGAACTACTATGCTGCCTTTAAACATAAAGGATTTGTCACATTGACTACATTTGTAAGGTTTCTCTCCTGTATGAATTCTCTGATGAATTCTAAAACTGTTTTTCTCGATGAAGGTTTTGTCACATTCTCCACATTGGTAAGGTTTCTTCCCTTCTTTATGTACTCTCTGATGTATTCTAAAATATGACGTACTCATAAATGATTTGCCACATTCACTACATTTGTGTGGTTTCTTTCCTATATGAATTCTCTGAGGAGTTTTAAGAGATGTGTAGGTTTTTTCACTACATTTGAAATTGCAATGTACTTTGAGTTGGAACAACTGCTGAAAGGATTTATCACATTTCATACATTTATAGAGTTTCTCTCCTCTAGGAGCTCTCAGATGACTACTGATGTTTGAGTCCAACTTAGAGCACTTTTCAGAGTTCTTGTTTTGGTCTCCTTTTTTTGCTCTATTGGTTTGTTTCAGCATAATTTTATGTTTGGAGTCAAAAGATTTATCATATGCTATCTTTTTGTGTTCTTTCTTTCCTATGTTGACTCTTTGATTTTGGCTAATGTTGTAATACAAATTAAAACAGTTCACATAGTCCTCATTTTTGCAAGGATCTTCTCGAGTGTTTCCACTTTTGTGTCTCTTCATATTTACTGTTTCAACAGAGGTATCTCCATAGTTACCAGATCTGTACTTGTTGCTGTTTTCTGCAGTATCACTTGTGTTATGAGGTCTACATTGGAAGGATTCAATCAGTCTGACAAGCTTATTACAAATATACAACTTCTCTTGGATATTCTCAGGATTGTGCAGGATATCCTTTGTGCCTTGATCCAAGATGTTCTCATATTTACCATGTATGCGATGGGTCTCTGAAAAATGAGTGCAGTTAGGGATAATAGGGATTAATGGTAGAGTAAGAAATTAAATAACATATTTTCTTAAGTTTCCTAAGAGGGGTAAACTAGTAATTCTCAGGGACAGAGTTCTTACCAGAGTCCTTCTGTGTTTCACAGTCATTAAATGGATGCTCACAAGTGCCTCAATCGAACTATATCAAAGACAAAAATTACCTTCTTGTTCTTAGCTAAACACTGTATCTTAGAGAAGCAAAGACAAATAGGTAATGCAGCAGTAAGAACTTTGAGAAAGAGGCTCTGTGAAGGCTCATATGAAGAGTGTTGCTATCCAAGTGGTGTGGCACAAGTCTTTAATCCCAGGATTGTGAAGGCAAAAGCAGGTAGATCTATGTGAGTTCAAAGACAGCATATTCTACAAAGCGATTTCCAGGATAGCCAGGCCTGTTTTACAGAGAAACCCTTTCTGGAAAAAACAAAAAGGGATGTTTCTCAACTTCTTTCTTTATGTTTTGGACACACATTCACACTGTGCAGTTAAGAACTCATTGTGTAACCTAGGTTAGCCTGGACCTTGCCATATATTCTTGCTTGAGCCTCGAAAGTGCAAAAGTAAAGTCATTCTGTGCTAGTGCTAAACACAGTGACGACATGTCAAAAATTAAATAGATAAACAAGGATATTCCTATAACAGTTCTTCTTCAATTTAAAGCTTTCTAAGTCTAAAAAATCAGAGATAGGAAGAGTTTAATACAAAAAAAATTCTACTTATTAAGTGTACTGCAGGGGGCTGGAGAGATGGCTCTGAGGTTAAGAGCACTGACAGCTCTTCCAGATGATATGGGTTCAATTTCAAGCACCCACATGGCAGTTCCTATCTAGCTGTATCTCTGGTTCCAGGGGATCTGGTATCTTTGCAGACATACACATAGGCAAAACACAAATGCACATAAAAAAATTATTTTTTAGAAAAAGTGCACAGAAATATATTTTCTTAGTCTTACTACTTAATTTCTTTTAACTTTGAAGTTTTCATTAAAAACTAGATAGGAGGACTGGGAAGATCAGAGAGAATGTGGCAATGTTTACCTCTTGCAGAGAACACAAGAAAAATTAAAAGGAGATATCATGAAAAATGTTTGTTGCTAACTAGAATTTCCCTTATTTCTGGGATTCTCTATACAGTTCAGAGAGAGAGAAAAAGAGAGAGAGAGAGAGAGAGAGTGTGTGTGTGTATGTGTATATATATATATAAATATACAAATATATAAATATACAAATATACAAAAAATACAAATGATTAATCAGGAAATCTAGAAAAAGAGCATTCTTACCTACAAAGATCAGATTTTTATAATTCTCCAACATCACATCCATGTACAATGCTCGCTGATCACAGTCTAAACATTCCCATTCCTCCTGTGACAGGTCCACAGCTATATCCCTAAATGTTAAAGGATCCTGTAATGGAAAATCACTAATGTACCACATGATGATGGACAAAATGATTTCTGAGGTAACAGAGAACTAAAAAATAAGAGACACTTTTGTGAAACAGATGAGGCATAAACAAGAGTTTTCTAGAATTTCTGTAGAAATGTGTCAGGACATAAGCATTGCTGCTCTTTCATAAACAATGGATAGGACTTACTACACTAACATTTATGAGGTCTCCCTTCTTCATGAATTTTGTTATGTTTTCTAAGACCTGAGCAACAGATAAAGTACAGTAACTACATTTGCCATTTTGGTGTCCAGTTTGGATTCTAGAATGACTAGGTCCTTCTGAATTTGGCTCAGTTTCAAAGCACCTTCAGCACCTTCATGGAATTACAAAACAGATTTTAAGCCTAGATCTATGAAATACAATGTTCTTTTTGGAACCTTACAAGCAGGAGACATACATAGCCACCCCTGCCACACACACATTCAGGCAAATATACTGATATACATACACAAAACTATACTAATTTTAACTTAATAATTAATAAAATTTAATAACATGAAATTTAACAAAAGGTGGACAGGGAACTTAAGAAGAAAAATGTAAATAATAGAAAATAAACACTTTTAATAACATGGCCTTGAAAGGTTTTAACAATAAAAACAATTTTTAAAAAAATTGTAGATATTACACTGACCTGGGGTTCATTTATCAGAGAAGAATTCATTCCTCTAATTGTTCTTAGCATTTCTGTCTCAGGAACAAAGACTCGAATCCTTGTTGAAATTTCACATAAAAAGGTCAAGTTAGAGCTAACCTAATTTTGTTATGGACAATGCCAAAACACATAAAAAGATGCAGAAAAGCTACATGATATCAAAAATCTCAAAATTCCAACAGAATGCAGAGCATGGGAGGATATAAAGTGGGAGGGAAATGACTATGAACCTTATCATTGCACTCAAAAACATGGGCTCTTAAAATTCGTGAAGAAAGGGCATATGAAGGTTGTAAGATAAAGGTCATCCACTCAAGCAGCACTGCAGATCATAATTGGAGGTTAAGTATATATAGAAAAATCAGAGAGAAAGTATCCATGAAATAAGGATTTCACATAAGGAATTGAGGAAAGCTAGGGAGTGCCAGACTATATCTAACATGCAAAAAAACAAAACAAAAAAACTACCATTTTAACTAGAGAGAAGTAAATTAGCAGAATATTAAATAAAAATCATGAATTAAAAACCCCCATGACATGTAAATCCTAGTAGGAATGGAAATGTCATGAGACAAATGTCATGAGATTTTGTGATTAAACTTCTGAAGAAAACAGGAAGAGTTGGAACACAGCTAAACACGGTAAGAGGCACATGTGTTAGACTGAGGCCAATAGCACAGCACAAGGAAAAAATGAACGGCATTAGCAGGAAAACAAGAGAAAGATGTTTGTGTTCTCCAGCATCACTGAATCCAGAGGCAGAAGAATGAGACAGAGAATTTAAACAAAGAAAAAGAATTAAGATTAAAAACACAGTATAGGCACCAAATTCCTTTTGAATGATGTGATCACACAAAAAAACTTGATACAGAAACTACGGTAATTATTAAATTTGCTAGGTGCTTCATGTATTATTGAAAAGTATAAAACTAACACAAGGAGCTTGTTGCAGGAGCTCTTTCCACTCCTTCAGCCAATAGCTGCTGAGATACCAGCCCATTAGGGGTGTGGTCTCTCTCTTTAAAAAAGCTGCCACCGCCCTGCCCTCCTCTCACTCTCCTCTTCCAGCGACTAGGCTCCCTTCCTGATTGCGCAGAGGGCTGTGGTCTGGGATGGTGATCTGTAAATTTTCCCCCTTAAATTTAAAATAACCATTCTATTAATCATAATTCCAAACTGGTGTGGGATTGTTTGTGAGTTACACCTTCAGGAGCTGGAGAGATGGCTCAGAGGTTAAGAGACTTCCAGAGGTCCTGAGTTCAATTCCCAGCAACCACATGATGGCTCACAACTATGTGTAATGAGATCTGGTGCCCTCTTCTGGTCTGTAGGCATGCATGCAGGCACAACACTGTATACATACTAAATAAATAAATCATTTTTAAAAACAGAAAATCACTATTTAATGATAAGAATAAAAATTTAAGATATCATGTTGCTTCAAAAATAGTGATGAATTCACTCATAGGAAGAAATTTATAAGGAAAAAGAAATAGTACAATATAGTACACAAAGAAATGGACTTCCGTGAACACACAACTGATGAATGAAATGTGTTGACTCAGTAAGGATTTCTACTGCAGCTATGAAATACTATGACCAAAAACCAAGTCGGGGAGGAGAGAGTTAATTTGCCTCAGACTTGCTTATTACTGTTCATCTTTGAAGGAAGCCAGTAAAAGAACTCAGGAAACTAGAGGCAAGGGGCTAGGGCAGAAGCCATATAAAAGTGCTGCTTACTGGCCTGCTCCCCATAGTTTGCTCAGTCTGCTTTCTCTATAGAATCAAGTAAAATCAGCAGACCACCCCCAACGGGCTAGGCCTTCCCCTTCAATCAATAAAAAAATTGTAGCCAGATTTATAGAGGCATCTTTCTCTAATGAGGTGCCCTTCTCTCTGATAACTCGTGACAAGTGAAAATTTTCCCACACATGGTTATATTACTAATAGCAACTAGCATAACTGATGCAAATACTCATATTTTCCACAAAAGTAGTTATGGAAAACAGTCACACGGTGTAGGCCCATATTTCTTTATGTCATGGCAGCCAGGGTCTGGAGCCATAGGCCCGCCTGAGGTGGTCACGTACACCTACAGACAATAACAATAACCATAGCCAGGATATGTTATATTCCTTTTCTTTGCTATAAATGTAGATTGTCTGGGAAGAGCTGTTTGTTGAAGCTGATGACCTAATGGCAGGTGCGGTCCTTAGCCGCATGTTCCCTGGGAAAGAGAATATTAATGAGGTATCCACCTCGGTTGAGGAGGAGGATTAAGAGATGTTTGATAATAAACACAGGGAGATCTTCAGGAAAAGGAGAGAACTCTGAGATGCCCTTCCGTGATGACTGTGTAAGCTGTGTCTGATTATTCCTTGCGGCTCCATACCAGTCCAGTTAGGGAATATAGTTATCTATGTTGGGGTCCACGGGCTCTAGCAACATGGACACAGAAAAATTACAAATATCAAAATTATCCCTAAAAAAGAGTATTACTAGAGATCTGATCAAATATCATAAAACAGAGTGACAAGACAGTGTGGTTCTACACATAAACACGTGGAAAACTGAACAGAACAGAGAACTCAGAAGAAACCACAGAGCAGACAAGTGATACTAGATCCATTATCACTCACCCTACACAAAAATCAAAATGAAGTAGATCCAGGAACTCATTGGAAAACTTGAAATGCTAAAAGTGCTATAGGAAAACATGATTAAATACTTATTTGGTAATAAGCAAACACTCTCAGAAAGAGATTCCAGAGCACAGAAAACAACCAGGAAAAATAATAAGGGGATTTTTTTCATTAAGTGAAAGCAATGCAGGTCAGAAAAGAAAACAAACACTGAATGGTTTAGGAAGAAGTAATACAGACAATTAGGTTCTCATCACACAAAAGTCTAATATGTACATTAGATGAAACACTATTTAATGTGGACACATTAGGTCTAAACTATCTATATAAAGGATCATGGTATGGGAACAAGAGCTTTCAATGGACATAGTATTAAAAAAATAGGTACTGGAGGAGTAGCAATGTTTGTATAACAAGAGGCAGGAGATAGTAGTTACCTTCATGAAATGATAAAGTGAAAGACCTGGATAAATCCAGACCACCCCCCCACCAGCAGGAAGAAAATAGCCAAAAATCTAAGCAAGTAGAGAGAATCAGGAATCTAGGATTAGCCAGTTCAGTGATTATGTTTTAGGAACTAGCTGAAGATAAAGTTAGATTGTAATCTTAAGAATAATCTTGAGAAACAGGGAGTTTCCCCCTTGTGATCATTGGTATTTTTGGAATAATGTGTTTCAGGAACTAGGTGATTATGACCTTGAGTGATCTTGAGAGGCAGGGATTTGTCCCCACTGATTTTCGGTGACACCCTCCCTGCCTTTTTCCGGATTATTGGGCTGTGGTTTCTTCCTATAAAAACCCCTTCTCCAGGTCACTTGGGGTCGAACTCTTCCACAGCATGGGTTATAAGTCTCAGCCCTAGTGCACTGGTTCCCGTCTCATCTGATGATTAAACCTCCTGTGATTGCAGCAAGGACGGTCTCTCGTGAGTTACTGGGGGGGTCGTGTTATCCCGAGACTTGAGTAAGAGTCTCCCCAGCACTGGGGGTCTTTCACCAGAGGCTTATATCCTGCTGTTGAAGGACTCTGATGCCAAATTAAGCAGGAAGTAGCAAAACGATGATGTCACAAACCTTTCAAAACTCTGAACAGTAAACAAAAAAAAGGAGGATAAAAGTTCTTTGAAGCATGCTATAGGCCAGGTCCCACCACTGAGAATCTCCAACCAGAGTCCATACCGAGGTCACTCTAACTGCCCTAATAGGCAGACCAAGCCCCTTCAGATACAGGCAGCCAAGCTCTGCCATACAAAGTAGAAGGCCCAAGCTCTGAACTTGAAAACACACCAAATGCCACCCTGGAAAGCTCCACGTGGGCCAAAGAAACATTAGATAAATACTGTCTTCTGCTCAATTCTCAGATGCTTCTTGCCAGAGGAAAGGCAGACAGACTCTTGACTTTTTCCCTCTCAAAAAAAAAAAAAAAAATCTCTTCTGTGAGGTTTGTTGTACAGTGTTAACATTGTGCTATCCCTTGACTCCAGATTATAGGAATACGTTTCCCTTCATAACTGAAACACCTGCACTGGGGAAACCCTCCCAGTGGGAGCAGACCTGTATCAGCTTCAGTTAGAAAACCTTTTCTCTCAGAGACATAATGACTATTGATTTGTTGATCGCATGTTCTCATTCAAACATGGAAAAAATATAAAAGGACCTTCTGTAAAGATTCTAGTAATATGTACCAAGAATTTTCAGCTATTCTTTTTTATGTAAATGTAAAAAAACTTCCTAAAATTTATAAAATCACAAAGACATCATAAATTATGAGAGCAAGCTGGGTGATGGTGGCGAACGCCTTTAATCCCAGCATTCGGGAGGCAGAAGCAGGAGGATCTCTGTGAGTTCGAGACCAGCCTGGTCTACAGAGCTAGTGCCAGGACAGGCTCCAAAGCCACAGAGAAACCCTGTCTCAAAAAAAAAAAAAAAAAAAAAGAATAAATTATGAGAGCAGGATCAAACCCAGAGGTAATTTCAAAATATGTAAAAATTGAAGTAACACAAACCATTGAGTGTTAAAGACTGACAAGATATCAAAGGGAAAGCAATGTAGCTAGAGACTAATATCGTGCAGAGATATGAATCAACTCTGATCAAAATCATGATGACATTATTTTAGAAAATAGAGAAATTAACCCTCAAAGACACAGAACCTGAAGGAATGACAAAATACTCCGAAAACTCTGTGTGCAGGACAAACCAAGAGGTTTCAATGGTTCTAACTAAACACCATACTGAAACAATAGTAATGAAACCACTTGATGTTGGTATAAAATTACAACCAGTTATAATAATAGTAGAGGGGCAGCATAAACTCCCAGGCAAAGTCAAAGAAAATTGTATTTGTGTTGGAATATTAGCATTTACATACAGTCTTCAAACTCCTACAATAGGAGAAATCTAGGGATTATTCTCAGGGGAACTCTCTAGAATCATTTAGGATAAAATAGAATGAGGCAAAACCAATTTCATGTCCTGTCTCTACAGTCACTTGACCTCTTCCTCAGTCCCTCTATCATACCTGGATCCTTTGCTACTGTCTCCTCTCTCTTCTCCATCCAGGGTTCTAGGTTCTGTTTCACAGGTGAGCCGGACTGACTGACAATGTGAATCCTGCACAGGAGAAAGATTCTTCAGAAAGTACCTGGAACTTTGCAAGGAACAAAAACTAAGGATACTACTACCTGTCCAAAGGAAAAACATCAAAGAAAGAGAAAATATCATGAGAAATGTCTCTTCACTTTACTCTGTGAGATGTGAGACTCATTCACACACAGCTCCCACACATGCAGAGTGGTTTTCTCAAGAGCCCTGGGGAGGGAAAGCAGACAGCATGAAAACTCTTCTCACCATCAGAATCCAGACTATTGCAGCTCTGCAACAGGAGATCTCTGCAAAAAGCCCTGTGAGCAGGGTCTAGGCATTCCCACTCCTCCTAGAAGTCCACAGCCACAGCACTGAGTGTCAACAAATCCTGAAATAAAATAAAATAAAAAAAAAAAAAACTTTGGAGAGTTGTTCATGGGCAGAATGCTTTCCTTCAACAGAAGAGATTCTTTTCTCACACAGAAGAATGATCATGAATGTTCAAAAGATGCTTTACAATTTTGTTTTCATCTAAAGTGAATTTAGTAATTTGAAAGTAGTGAAGCGTGATATAATCTAACAGCAAGCATGTTTGGCTTCCCTGGACCTAAGGGGTAACCTAAGCAGACAGCATATAAAGAAATTTCTGAATGCTCTCTTTATATACTAGACTGTATATGTCTCAGATGTAAAATTAACAGGGAGTAAAAGATTTGTTTAATGTTTATAACCACATGTATGGCACTCCAAATAATATCTGTTTAGTCAGATCTACATGGCTTCGTAGATGTGATTATTATCCTCAAACTCTCTGTGGATGCACAGTCACAGAGGCTGTAGGGTCCAAAGGTCTACCTCTCCCCTCAGGGTTCATCTTGAGGACAGTTTCTGGCCAGACATCTTGTTACAATTTCCAGTAAACATCCTGCTTGTTCCTGTGCTCCCTCTGCCCTCCTGGAGGTTAGCTATAGGGCCATTGTTTACTCCATTTTGGACTTGGTAAATTTCCTACCTGCCTGGAGGGAATTTCATTGTGCAGCAGTTAGGTATATAAAGGATTTCCTAAAGTTGAATAAAAATGGCATTTGACATTATCTCCTCATGAATGACCCATGTCTCTTGTGTGTTCTTTTAATTTCCGGGCCCTTACCCAGCTTGCAAATGGTACAGTAACACGAACTGTATCTTAGAGAGTAATGCAGGCATTACAAAGGCAAAGGCCACTCTCTTGCTTAGCCAATTGGTACACAGGGGAGTTAGAAAGCATGGATGAATTTAAATTTCAGGACCTTTGGAACTGCCAAAATAGCAAAGAGAAAATTGTTTGCAAACAACAGACAATGCAAATGCTCTACTAGATTATCTTAAGAATTATTTTACAGTCAGACAGTGATGGTACACACCTTTAATCCCAGCACTGAGGAGGTATAGGCAGGCGGATCTCTGTGTGTTTGAAACCAGCCTGCTCTACAGAGAGCGAGTTACAGGAAGGCCAGGGCTACACAGAGGAACTCTGTCTTAAAAAAAAAAAAAAAAAAAAAAAAAAGAATTACTTTATGAGACAATAAACAGGCAACCATAAGATAAGTAAAAAAAAAAATTATGGTAAGAACCACATGATGGAAACTCAAACTTACCAACAATGCAAAGCAATCGACAACGCTGTGTCTGTAAGGATGAAATGGCAAACAATGGGTACATCTGGCCAGCCAGGGTAGACCATTAAGAGAACTTGCCTCATGCAACATGTATAAGCAAGAGGTTCATTGCAGGAGGAGGATGAGCAAAAGAGTCAAAGGGCATTAGTTAAATAGTTCATAGCTGACCAATGCTACATGTCATGACTGTGCCTCAAAAGCATACACAAGAAAATGGAGAATTTTCCTTCATATGATGCTTCAGAGAGCCCTTTCTCAGAGTTCGCTTTTGTTCAATCAACTATCTGACCTTCTGCAAGGTGTGAAGTTTAGCTAAGAATGAAAAGTCTGTTATCGTTCCCTGCATTTTAAGAGGAGGTTCTTCTGTGCTTACATTTAGTGATTGTGAATCACAAAAGGCCTCTGCTGATAAACTCTATTCTAAAGAATTGCTAGCTTACTTTTCCCAAGGAAACATCAGATATTGAATCTGTTACTCGTGTATCAATCCCTATTATCCTTAACAGTCCTAATTTTCCAGACACCTATCAGATGTGGGTTAAATATAAGAAGGCCCTAAATCGCAGCTCAAAGCATTCTGTCAAGAAGACTTGTAAATGTAATGAGCTTGGCAAAATGATTTATGAATCTTCCCAGTGTACACTTTATAACAAAAGTGATACTGCAGAAAACTGCAACAAGTACAGATCTAGCAACCACAGAGATGCTTCTATTAAACATCAAACCTAAACAGAAAGACTGTAAAATGTTTAAATTTGTGCTCCACCCTTAGTCAAATCCTACAAATCCACACTAGAAAGGAAGAACTCAAAAATATAGAGAATGATAAATCTTTTGATTCTAACCAACCCTGAAACAAAACCAAAGAGGAAAGAAACTACAGCAATGCCAGAAGCATAAAAAATGCTTCAAGATATATTCAACCTTAGTAGACATAAAGGAACTCATACAGAAGAGAAACCTTATAAATGTACAGAATGTAGTAAGTCTTTCCTGCATTTGTCACAACTCAAAGAACATAACAATATGCAAGTGGAAAACAACCTAACAAATGTACAGAAGGTAATAAGTGCTCTTCTCAGACATCAGATGTCAAAGGACATTACAGAACCCTCGCTAAAGAGAAACTTACAAATTTACTGATTATGGAAAATTCTTCATTTGCAGCTCAGGAATTAGAAAACATCATAATATTCATACAGGAGAGAATAGTTACAAATGCAATAAATATTGCAAACACTTTATCCAGAAACAACATCTTAGGATACATCAGACAATTCATACAGGGGAGAAGCTTGACATATGCAGAGATTGTGAGAAATCCTCTACCAGTAGTTCACCTATGCAATACCAGTGCTCCCTAAGGAATGCAATGTGAATGAAATTCAAGAGAAAGAACTCAAAATACAATCAAGGTCATTTCAACAAAGTCAAGGGACATAAAGAGGAAACAAGCACCAGAGATCAAAGAGGACAGGAACAAACTGATTGAAGGGCAAGGGAACGCCAGCAAATGGCTCAGGAAATAAGGAGGACAATGCAGGATGTGAACACTGCAATCTAGAGATGGAAATCGAAGGAATCCCTAAAATAATGAAACAAGAAATAGAGAACTCTGTAAGCCTAATACAACTCAGTGGAGAGAGGTCCACCAAGATACAGCAAGTATAAGACAAACACCAGAGTTTCAGTACACGGAGCTGGATCATTCAATCAAAAAAAAAAAAAAAAAAAAAAGGATAGGTCAAACAAATGAACTAAATTCTTGCTGCATTACAGTAGCAATATTAAAAGATAAAAGTGAAATTGAAGCCTGGAATAGTGAGGTAGGTCTTTAATTCCAGCACTCAGGAGGCAAAGTTGGGAAGATCCATGTGAGTTGGAAGCCAACCTGCTCTTCATATCAGTTCAGTCAGGGCTACAGAGTAAGACCCTGTCTCAGAAACAACAGATGGAAAAGCCAAACAAGAATTTAAAGGTATTATTTTCTACACTGATTTAAAATCCTCTAAAATGTGTGTTCCTACACAATTACAGCATGAATATTAAGAGACTGATTATATTGGTTTGGATGAGAATATCTCTCATTGACATATATTTGAACCTAAGTGTCCAGTTGGTCACAGTGTTTTGGAAAGATTAGTTGCTGGAACAATATTGAATAAAGTATGACACCTGTGGACAGGCTCTAAGAAAAAATGATCCTCAAGCCACCTTAGTTCTCCCTCCCCCTCCTTAGTGACTGTGGTTAATTTAAGGATGTGATCTCTTGCTTTCTATTCAACGTACTTGGTTGCTCACTCCCTGACCTTCTTGCTTTCTATTCAACGCACTTGGTTGCTCACTCCCTGACCTACCTGCCATGGACTCTGATCCCCCAGAAAGCACTCGCCAAGATGCCTGATCACAGTGATTTATGAAGGCTACAGACCAGAAGAAATTACAGGAAAATATTTTCTACTGGATTAAAGATTCTCTCTCAGAGAAAGAATGCATGTCACATTCTGAAACCTGATCAAGAACAGGTCATATAATAAATAGGTCATGAGCGCTACAGGGGCCCTTACTGTTTTTTTCCTTAAAGGTCCTAATGGCAAACTTTCTTTTAAATTGTTGTTTATATTGAAAAGTAAAGTGGTGCACTCAGCCTTCATCAGTTAGTTTTCTTACTGAAGTGCTCAGATGTTAGTACAGAAAACAATACTAATCCATACTAAGGTATTAAATAATGCCAGCATCAAGGATGCTAAATAGAACACAGGAATTATGATGCCTAATCTTAGGCTTTCCTTGAGGTCCTGATGTATGGAGTAGGAATACTATTCTTCCTCTACCCCAGGATTATGTGCCAATAACGGTCAAAGAACTTGGGAATTGTGACTTCTGACCCAGACGGCCCAACTCTTCACAACATAAAAGGTTGGAGATATATGTCCCAAGGCTTAGGTGTGCTTGATCTCTGATGCTGTGATCGCCTGTGTTCCCTTGTACAACGCTGATCAAATTCTCTATACTTTATCTCACTGTATTATAAACTTTTGTGAACACTGACCCATTCTAATTTTTAGAACTGTGTATAAGATACTGTACTTCTTAATAACCCTGCAAAAGGCATAAGACATAGCTTACATAAGAACACGTGAACCCATCTTTTCTATCCTCTAGACTTTCCTCTTCAGGAGCTTATCAGTAAAGAACAACCTGCTCAAAGGAACATCCTAGAAGACCTAGTAGAAATACGGAAGAACCAGAACCAGAGAATGGAGAACATGCAGTGAAAAAAATGTCTGGACCTGAATATGCCTCTGTGTTCATCTGCAAAATGCCTCATGAGATTGAGTCCATCAACATTCCATCAAGGCTGAGAGGCACCCTAAATGCATGTCTATAGGGTCTACAGGAAGTTCACAGCAGACAGTAGACTGGTGTCTATTTCAGAGGTTGAGATATTTAGGAGTTGCCCAGGATCCAGTAAGTAACCCCCAACCCATGTTCAGACAGGCAAATTTAGTTAAACTCAGAAGGTCCCAAAACTAAAGACATGAAAGAAGCAGGACTGATGATTTCACTCCTACGTTATCTGCCAAAACCCATTATTTGAGTCTGTATCAGTGTGGAAGCCTAAAAATGTGAGCCGATTTCCACATTGACCAGAGAGTCGGAATTTACCTCTAGTCCTTCAAGGTTTCTACCTCAAAGGTGCCACCTAGATTTAGACTAGAGAGTTCTGTTCTCTCAGTGTTATTGTCAACAAGTGTGGTTAACAGTCAGACCTTGTATTTCAAGTATAGAGAAGTAGAAGTTTTACCTCAAACAAAAGTCTAAGTCTCCAATTAAGGCTTCAGTTCTCTTAGGAGATAACTTTGGATTCTACCCAGGGAGTGGTTTGCCTACAGAATGTTTGGGTCTAGGGTGTGAACATGACTTATTTTATTCTATCAACAAAATGCTTAACTATGGATGTAGCCTTCAATTGGTATGTTCATTTCCTTGTATTATGTTAATACAATGTTTTGTCTTACTCCTACCTTTTGGGGTCAGGTGTATTTAAAGCAATTAAAAGTTAAACATTGGCAAATTTCAGTTATTACTTTCATTCACCTCTTCATATTCTTTACTATATTTCTAAATCCCACGCCTCTACTCTAGCAGGAGGTATTTTTGTTGAGGCTGGTTCCCCGATAGATCAGGTCCAGCATTGTTGCCTTCTCTAACCCAACGAAGAGGTCCAACTCACATACCTGCAAGTATGTATATGTACCACTTGCACCTATGGAGTCCAGGGAGGTCAGGAGAGGATCAGATCCACAAAATCTGGAGGTACTGAGTGACTACGGACCATGTGGCTGCTAAGATGACATCCTGGTCTGTTGCAAGAGCAGTAAGTGCTTTTAGCATCTGAGTCATCTCTCTAGCCTAAAGGCAGTTCTTAATACATCAAGTTGACAATAAATATTCATTGTGACAACTTTGAGGTCTTTCAGTCCCTGGCTGCTACCATTTTCCTCTATGGAATTAACTTTACACTCTCAAGAGAAAGTAGAACTGTGAGACATCTCTCTACTCTCTTTTATGTAATTGTATATCTCATGCTAATTCCAGGTCACGAAATGGGCATTGATTTTGCATGTGTGGATAATAGATTTTATGTTTACATAATTATAGAACTACTGTATATATGCATACACATGTCAGTTACATTTTGTAGCATCTTTTTTTTTTTTTTTTTTTTTTTTTTTTTTTTTATTTTTTTTTTTTTTTTTTTTTTTTTTTTTTCGAGACAGGGTTTCTCTGTGGTTTTGGAGCCTGTCCTGGAACTAGCTCTTGTAGACCAGGCTGGTCTTGAACTCACAGAGATC